GATGTCTCTGATGATGAATCCGCGACGGATCACGAAACGTCAGGCGAATAAAAGTACTGTCCCAGCTATCGAGTCGTCTTCTTCTCAATGACTCGTATGGCCGCCTGAACAGGCAACGGGAATAGGGTACCTCGCACACTTAAAATGTGGCCTTGCGATAAATTTCCCGAGGGTTATACACTTTCTTATGCTAACCGTAACATAAAACTAAATTTTTATCTCAGTCCTAAATATAGTCCTACAGTTAACACGAAACTAAATCCTTAAGAAAATCCTGGTTCGCACGTCAACTTTGATCTAAACTCCCTCATTAAACCTCACCTTAAACGTAACCATAACTCTCACCTTAGTCCTAAACCAAATTTCTCCGAAATTTTGCACAAAACCCCATGTATTGTGGGCGGTGCCTATTCCGGTGTTGTGTCATGGCAGCCATACAAGACCTTCTAACCCGAAATAATCCGAGTTTTTTGTAGGCTCATATCGGGTCACTCAGGACTGGTACGTGTAGAGGCAACTGTCAACTGTGGTGACCTTGCAACTACTTGCATTCATTTAGAAAGTGCCAAATGAATAACTAAAAGTTTACCTTCTCGAAAATATTTATGAATATCTCGAAGCCAAATGTATCCTGCAGACCGATGGCCTTGAAGGCGTTCGTAGACAGCTCCGCTACTGTTACAGCCGGATCCACCTTGACCTTGACCTGTGTGTTGTCCGCGCAGTGAATGTTGATCACCAGACTTTTGTTTTCTTCGGCCGCCCTGAGTTCCATGTAGCTGGCTGGTTTGGAGCGTGTGCCTGTGAGGTGCAGCCGGTTGAGCCGCTTCAAACAGGCCCTCGAGAAACTGGAGGGATTGGCCTTGAGGTACTCTCTCAACGGGGTCTCAAAATGTATTGGTGGGAAGCAGCTCGAGCACAGGGACAGCAAAACCCAACCTAGAGGCCGATAAAATTGGACAACGCTCAGCTTTGTCTATTTTAGCCATGCTTGTGAAATTTAGAGGGTAAGCTTCACAGGGCAAGTTAGGCTGACAGAAGAAATCAAAAGATGCGACCATTGGAAGGATAGGGTGGCGGAAAATTAATAGGAGGCAAAACCAATTTATAACCACCATTCGTTCGGAAATCCACGATTTCGTACTTGATATTGACTTAATTAGGGCAGACAACAGTAGCTTATGTAGGCCCACTCACTAACCCCTACTCCCTGCATGTTTTCCTACAAAAACGGTGTTTATGGGGTTTTATGGGTGGGGAATTAGGACGTGCAGTGGAATATACTTTAATAAATGCTAAATGCATTTTTATTTTACTGTAT